TTGCCTTTCCACCTTCAACCAAAGCAAGAAGGCCCTTACCAGATCTGGGTCGCTCAACCTTGGACCAGAACTGTAATGAATAAATTTATTTTCCTTATATATTACCCAGTCTGTGGTACTCTGTTATAGCAACACAAAACAGACTAAGACAACATTCAACTGTTTAAAAGTGAATAGGTTTCGCCAATCAATTCGAAAAATATCTGGCAAATTTGAGTCAATCATGACATAGGTGAGAGAGCTCAGGTATGGTTTCCAATTCTAGCCACCATCTCTAAGCTGTGCAACCTTGAATGGTTCTTAAAACCTCTCAGTCTGTTTCCTCATCTGACCATCTACATCATAGGGTTTAAAAAGGCTGCAGAGCTCAGAAAGAATATATTCAAAGTCCTAAAACACAGTAAGTGCTTGATAATTACATATTTCCCTCTCATCACTGACCTATAGAACTAGGAACATAGATCAAGATTCTTTGTTGACTTGCTGAAATATTACCAAGATCCAAGCCTGTTATATCTGATTGTATTTTACTTATTTTCATTTTTAAGATATTTAAAATTATTTATACTAATCAACAGTATCATAACATGCCTAAATTTACTTTTGGCTTTCCCAACATATATACTTGCTATTTTATTACCTTCCTAAAGTTATCAATGCCCCTATACCCTTATTTGCTTCCCCCATAGGTAATCTATGTTTCAACCACATTGAGATGTTGTCTAAATTCATCAAATCTTCTCATACCTCTATTAATATCTATTAATATGTACAGGAAGTTCTCTAGGCCTACAACATTGCCCTTACCACCAGCCTTCCTCCATTTGATAAAGTAACATCTTTGAGATTAAACTCACACACTATCTCTAGGAAGCCTTCATACACAAACACACACATCGAGCTGTTATGCACTAATTTTTTTGTACTCCATACCTTACATACTATATTATCATTCTTAGTCTACTTGTCTGTTTTTCCTACTAAACAGTAGGAGTGCAGAGATGGGTTCCTCCTCCTATTTGTACCCCTAACATCTACAAGCATAATTCCTGACACACACTGAATACTCACATGCTTTTGGGAATTCAACAATGCCATAACATAAAACAAAACAAAACTCCTCAAGCCTTTATAGTTATTTCATAACTTGAGATTTAAAAGTATTATTTTAACTTTAAGAATGGCCTCACTGAATTATACACTTAAAACAGTTTTAACCAATGGCTTTAATCAGTGGTAAACTTTGTTATGAATATTTTACCACAAGTTTTTAAAAAAGCCCCAGTGATCCAATTTAAAGTTTAATTCCCAGGTATCCCTCCATGAAAGAATCCTACTTTCATTGATAAGGAATTCTACAAGGGACCCTACAGCATAGTAGTTTTAGGGGCTCTGGAAACAGACCAGGAAGTTTGGAATCCTGGCTTCATCACTGACTAGCTATATAATTCTAGGCAATTCACTAAATCATTTTGAAGCTCAGTTTCTTCATCTGTAAAATGGGGACTGTAACAGCACTGATTTCAAAACCTATTGTAAAATAATCCACATAAAGCACTGTGTAAACACTCAGTGTTTTCAAACTGTGCTTCTTAGAGTACTGGGTAATCTTTGGCCACTGAAAACAAGAGAGGGCTTTGGGCCTTCCCTTCTTCCATTTCCTCCCAGTAACACCTTACCCTGAATATTCTGCTTTTATTTTACAGATTAAAATTTCAGGTAGGATTTTTAAAAAACAAAGAATTCCTTGGTTTAAAAGAACCAAAATCCATAAATCAAAATAGTATTCATCTAATGCTTATATTATTAACATCTCCCTCTACAGATAGCCATTTATTAAATTCGATTATTTACTTTGTTAGCATCCACACTTAATTTAGTTTTACTTTGCATCTCACAGAAAGGAAAAATCTTAAAAACAAAATCTTATGTCTACTTATGGTAAGGACTGATTGAGCATAACTAATTTTGGGCTGATACTGAAAACAGATTACAAGTTTCCTAGTTGCTACTGAGTCAGGTCAAGTTGTTTAGCTGAAGAAGTCCTGAACATCAATCACACGCATATGAAATTAAGTCTAAATATTTATTCTAAAGCCATATAAATTTTGATTAATGTCAAAAATAGGAAATTGATTTGAATGCAGAATTTTCAAAGGTTTGAAATATAAAAACTAAAAACTAAGACCTATATTGATTATCATCATCACCTACGTTGCAGGGTTGTGGTAGGATTTATAAAGAATACATTCAAAATATAGTAAGTGCTTAACAAATGTAGCATTCCCTCTCATACCCATCATCTCCAGCATTTCTTGTCTACCTTTCCAAGAGCATAGAGTCATTTAAACCCTCCCATGGCCAACAGGCTTCTCTAGCCTTCCTCAGTCTCTTTTGCCAATAATCTCCAGTGCTGTCCTCTCATCACCCTCATTACCTGTTACTTTTTTCATTGACACAACCCACCATGCTGTATTATCACATCACTGTAATTTTATCTCCAGTCCTCAGCCCAATTCAATTAACATTTTCTGAATATTTATATTATATGCCAGGTATCTTATTAATAGAAGGTTAATACTAATTTATACACCTTACTTCAATGTGGCCCTTGCCTTTCCTTAGAAACTTTTTTTGTTTGTTTTGAGATAGAGTCTTCCTCTGTGGCCCAGGCTAGAGTGCAGTGGCATCGTCATAGCCCACTGCAACCTCAAAACTCCTGGGCTCAAGCAATCCTCCTGCCTCAGCCTCCTGAGTAGCTGGGACTACAGGCTCAGGCCATGACACCCAGCTAATTTTTCTATTTTTTAGTAGAGATGGGGTCTCACTCTTGCTCAGGCTGGTCTCGAGCTCCTGAGCTCAAGCTTGGCCTCCCAGAGTGGTAGGATTACAGGCGTGAGCCACTGCACGAGGCCTCCTTAGAAACTTAACATTTTTTAATTATTATGGATACATAATATTTGTATATATTTTAGGGTACAAGTGATGTTTTAATACAGGCATACAATGTGAATTAATCAAATCAGCATACTTGGGGTATCCATCACCTCAGGCACTTATCATTTCTTCATGTTAGGAACATTCCAATTCCATTCTTTCAGTTAAAGTATACTCTAACTTATTGCTGATCATAGTCACTTCGGTGTGCTATCAAATATTGCTCATTCTATCTATCTAAGTATCTAATTATATTTTTGCATCTATTAACCATTCCTACTTTAATCCCCTTCCCCATTACTCTTCTCAGCTTCTGGTAAAGATCATTCTACTCTCTGTCTCCATGAGATC